ATATAATTACTGTGGTTAAGAGTTGATGCATTTTTCTTTGCCAGATTTCATAATAATGCCTACAGAGAGATTACCCAATTTTCAGTTGCCTCAAAATTTGGCTATTATTTAAACCCTTCTAAAATCTCTTTGTTTTTTTTGTTTTTTTCGGTTTTTGGTTGTTGTTTTTTTTTGTTTTTTGTTTTTTGTCTAACATTTTAGGTCTTAATCTGAAAGAGAAAAAATGGTATCAAATTCCTGTTTTATTTTTAATTGAAAGATATTTTGAAAATCTTGTATTTGTAAGCCATTATTAATTTACTAGAGGCCCGGTGTACAAAATTCATGCACGAGGGGGGGGTGTCCTGCAGCCCGGACTGTACCCTCTCCAATCTGGGACCCCTCAGGGGATGTCCAACTGCTGGTTTAGGCCCAATCCTTAAGAAATTGGGCCTAAACCAGCAGTCAGACATCCCTCTCACAATCCAGGACTGCTGGTTCCTAACTGCTCGCCTGCCTGCCAGCCTGATTGCCACCTAACTGCTCCCCTGCCAGCTTGATTGCCCTCAACTGCCCTCCCCTGCTGGCCTCATCTCCCCCAACTGCTGATATCACCCCTAACTGCTTGCTCCCTGGCCAGCCTGATCACCCCTAACCACCTCTACCTCGGCCCCTGCCACTGTGGCTTTGTCTGGAAGGAAGTCAGACATCCGAAAGATGTCCAGTCGACCTGGTCTAATTAGCATAGTACCCTTTTATTAGTATACTAGAGGCCCAGTGCACAAAAATTTGTGCACTCGGGGGGGAGGGGGGTCCCCCAGCCTGGCCTGTGCCCTCTCGCAGTCTGGGACCCCTCTGGAGATAACGACTTGCTGGCTTAGGCCTGCTCCCGGGTGGCAGAGGGCACGCCCAATCCCTAGGTGCAGCCCCTGGTGGGGCTCAGAGCAGGGCCCATTGGGGAGTTGGGGCGCCGCCCCCTGTCATGCACAGAGCAGGGCGGATCGGGAGGTTGCGATGCCACCCTCAGTCATGCTCAGGGTAGGGTTGATTGGGGGTTGGGGCACCACCCCGTCACACTCAAGGCAGGGTCTATGGGGAGGTTGCGGCGACACCCCCTGTCACGCACAGAGCAGGGCCGATCAGGGAGTTGGGGTGCTGCCCCCTGTCACTCACAGAGCAGGGCCAATCAGGGGGTTGGGGCGCTGCCCCCTGTCACTCACAGAGCAGGGCCCATCAGGGGGGTTGGGGCTCCGTACCCTGTCACACACAGAGCAGGGTCGATCAGGGGTTTGGGGAGCTCCCCCCTGTCACGCACAGAGCAGGGCCCATCATGGGGTTGAGGAGCTCTCCCCTGTCACTCACAGAGTAGGGCTGATAGGGGAGCTGGGGCACCGCCCCCTGTCACACACAGAGCAGAGCAGATCAGGGGGTTGGGGTGCTGCACCCTGTCACACTCAGGGCAGGGCCAATGGGGAGGTTATGGCTCTATCCTGTCAAACACAGAGCAAGGCCCGTGGAGGGGGGTTGGGGCGCCACCCTCTATCACCCACAGAGCAGGGCCGATCAGGGGGTTGGGCGCTGCCACTGTCACACTCAGGGCAGGGCCGATGGAGCGGTTATGGCTCTACCCTGTCACACACAGAGCAGGGCTCATGGCGGGGGGGGGGGGGGGGGCTTTGGGGCGCCGCACCCTGTCACACACAGAGCAGGGCCGATCAAGGGGGTTGGGGCGCCGCCACCTGTCAAACACAGAAGTTGCAGGGGGATCAGGGGATTGGGGGAGCTCCTCTCTATACAGCTACAAGACGGGGCTGATCAGGGGTTGGGGC